ATTTCATTCACGAACGAGATGTAGCAGTTCATTCAACTCGTTCACGAACGACATGTACCAGTTCGGTCATTTCGTTCATGAACGAGAAGATCTCTCGATCTCGTTCAGACTCAAAAGAAACTCGTTCAGTGAAGGGCGTATTCCTTCACTACATTCAACAAATCACATGCTCCGTCACATCTCAAACTCGAAGGCTATTGGCTCGAGGTTTAGTCATTCTTTGACAGGATGAAACAGTCCACAGAGCTACCCGGTTCACTGATCTGCGCATGCGCTGCCAATAGCGCCGCGCTGCTCTGGAGGGAGGAATTTCAGTGAACGAGAAATATGAGTCAATGGATTACGTGAACGAGAACGATTCGTTCACCAAAAAGATTCGTTCAAAAAGAACGATTCGTTCCCGAACGTAACAACACTAATGCACATAAACCTTGCGAGCGGTATACAAACGAACATGGAACAATACATTTATTAATCTGTGTTAATGTAAGTTAATAAAAAGACAATCGTTCAGTGTTTGTTCATGTTTTTGTTGCTGTTACGTGACGTAGCGGTGTCTGACTAGGGGCGAGACGTGGGCTGATGATGTCATCATTTCAGAAAATATATGGATTTGCTGTCCACACGAAAACACAAGGGCGGCATTTTCAGATTTATCCACTCTGGGACCCGGTTTCAAAAAATATTGGTTTCACTCTCCCAAAACGCCGGATCCGTGTGGACGAAACGCCTATATGATACAAAATTTTATGCATATACAGCTAAACGTGTCTCTGTGTGGACAGGGCCTTAGAGGTCATTCCTAAACCAAACATTTTGCTTCAGACAAACTTCATAATTCTGCTCTTAATCATTTAAATCCCATTGACAAAAAAAGGGACCTTCCATGTGATGTATTTGTGGGATTTTTTTCTGGCTGTCGTCAGGAAATATTTCTATTATGTCTGAGATTTTTTTTTTCAACACTTCAACACTTTTTTTGCATACGTTCACCCAAATTAATCAAAAGTTAGAAAAAACAATTGAAATATACTAAATAACTTTAAAAATATATGCTTCTTCCAGAGCTGTGCCACAAAATCACATGCTTGAATGACCGGAGGCCCGTTGCTGTGACACCCATCTTCAGCAAGTGTTTTGAGAGACTCGTCAGAGACTACGTCTGCTCTGTGCTGCCTGCTTCACTGGATCCGCTACAATTTGCATATCGTAGCAACCGTTCCACAGACGATGCTATTGCTTTCACCCTACACACTGCTCTCTCCCACCTGGAAAATAAGAACACCTATGTGAGAATGCTGTTTGTGGACTACAGCTCAGCATTTAACACCATAGTGCCTGCCACACTTGTTGCGAAGCTCCAGAATCTGGGACTAAACAGATCTCTGTGCAGCTGGATCCTGGACTTCCTGACAGGCAGAAGTCAGGTGGTCAGAATGGGCAACAATACTTAATCCCCGCTGACCCTCAACACTGGTGCTCCTCAGGGCTGCGTCCTCAGCCCACTCCTGTACTCCCTGTACACACATGACTGTGCAGCCACACACAGCTCCAACGTCATCGTCAAATTCGCTGACGACACAACGGTGATAGGCCTGATCACCGACAACGATGAGACGGCCTACAGAGAGGAGGTGAGCTCCCTGACTAAATGGTGTCAGGAGAACCACCTCTCTCAACATCGACAAGACCAAGGAGCTGGTGGTGGATTTCAGGAGACAGAGCAGAGAACACACACCCATCACCATCGACAAGACACCTGTGGAGCGGGTAAGCAGCTTTAAGTTCCTCGGCGTTCACATCAATGAGGATCTCACATGGTCCGCTCATACAGATGCAGTGCTGAAGAAGACACATCAACGCCTCTTCTTCCTGAGATGGCTGAGGAAGTTTGGCATGAGCCCCAGCATCCTCAGAACATTCTACACCTGCACTGTGGAGAGCATCCTGACTGGCCGCATCACTGCCTGATTTGGAAACAGCACCGCTGGCAACCGCAAAGCTCTGCAAAGGGTTGTGCGAACTGCCCGCCACATTGTTGGAGGTGAGCTCCCCTCCCCTCCAGGACATCTACACCAGGCGGTGTATAAGGAAAGCCCGGAGGATCATCAGTGACTCCAGCCACCCATCCCACAGACTGCTCTCTCTGCTGCCCTCAGGAAGACGTCTCCGCAGCATCCGATCCCACACTAGCCGACTGAGGGATAGCTTTTTCCCTCAGGCTATCAGACTAATGAACAGTCAGAACGAATACACCATACAGCATGCTCCCACAATTTGGTATGCCACACACTGCACTTTAACTCCAACACAGTTCATACTAGACTATATGTACACACTGCACTTAATAAAACAATCTATCTGCTACCACTGGTTACCATCCAATGCACACCTATGACATTTTGCGTATTCAGTTCATGTACAATCTGCTGCACCTTCGCATATTTTGTGTATATACGTGTACATAATGTAGAATGTGTACATACTGTGTATAATGTAAATTGCTAACTGTAAGTATGTCTAATAGTACACTGTGTGTACTAAGTATATGTATGTGGATATGGCACACTGTCATCTGTATAAGTCTGTAAGTATGTCTATATGTAAATTGTTTCTGCACTGTCTGGAGCACGCTCCCAAGAACTCACCAAGGCACATGTGCTGTGGTGATGTAACAAAAGTGATTTGATTTGATTTAACAATTGGGTGTGGAAACACCATGCTAGAAAACCCTTTAAAAATACATTTCTGCATTTCATTTGTGCACTTATCCACATATACTTAAAACTTGGCGTTTTGTACTGCACATCCTCTTATGACAAATTGCTTGCGATGTTCCTCATTTGTAAATTGCTTTAGGATAAAAGCTGTTAAATGAAAGAAGGTAAATGTAGATCATTCTCTGTGGGAATCCTCTGTTATCCCCATGGCAAGCATAAAGTTCACCTCATTCCATAGAATTTGGCATAAGGCCAACTTTTCTGTTTGATCACTTTCTGTCTTTCAGGGCATCACCGTTACACAACAGCAGAGCTGCCGTAGGCCGTCACATCCAATTCCTACTGGCAAAGGATGGCCAGCACCAGATTTAAACATATCTGGTAATAATCACATATCACTTGTAATAGCTCATTAGGACAGACTTAAACAAATTATATTTTATTGCTTGATGCATTATTGTGTCCCATTTGGTGAGGACGCGGCATCAGATATGAAAGTGCTGGATCTGAAGATGAAGATGATGAACTCACTGACTGTTTTTTGTATGACTGCGCAGAGTAAATAAATGATTAAAACGCTTCCCACATGCAGAGCAGTGCTATTTTCTCTCTAGTGTAAGGAAAACAGGTAAATTTAGCTCAAAGGGTATTATTTAAGGTTTTATAGGGAATTTGGACAGAATCACTGTTTTAAGGCTGATCACAGAGTCGACCAGCGATTCATCGAACGAGCCGTATAACATCAACTCTGCAGTGGATATTGAAATCCAAAATATAGTGAAAACACTATTAATTAGCACAGTAACAAGATCGGCAGTTTAGGACATTAACTTAAGCACAAAACACAAGATACTTCTCTTTTCAATATGATTAAGACTTTATTGGATAAATCTAAGACAATATGAACTAATCTAACAAACACACACACACATTCATACAAGTTGCAGGAAGAGAGAAAGTGAGGAAAGAATGTTTAAGAGAATGAAAATGTGAAATCCCAAGTTTATAGCAATATGTGCAATTGCATAGATGAATTGAGTTCCTCAATGAGGCTAAAATTTATATTAAATGCACCAATTCAGCTAGAAACTGGATGTTGTACTTGCATTGCCTTGTGTTAAGGGATTCCCTTTGTTGTCATCATTGCAGAAAGGGGTTTCCCAAGGTTTCTGATTGGCTGGAAGTTCAGTGGTCATTTGTAGTGAAGTCTTGTGCGTTGGCTGAAGTTGCGGAGTTGTGGGCTGGTTGAAGTTTTTAGACAGGCACTTGAGGTCGGACTCGGAGACACACCGTTGCGGCAAAACTTAACTCGGAACACGAAACTCTCAACGGAAAAGAAATTAAAGTAGAAGCCAGCAAGAAGAGTGACGAGACTAGATGGCATATCTCCTCATGGTTTTAGAGGAGCAGCTGGCATGCAAGCCAGAGCATGCTCAAAGAGCACTAAAATAAGCATCAAAACGCGGTGGCAAAAAGGCAAGAAAAAACATAATTTGATGGTGTCCTGAGTATTTAAACATGGCTGTTGGACACATCCCAAATGGTGTCTTGACCAATTAGACATTGTCTTAGCTCGGGGTGTTGCTATGTTTCTCCTCCCAATACATAAATCAACATGTTATCTTATCAGTCACATGGTCCGAATTTTCCCGCTCTTGCAGAGTATAATTTTGGACATGATTTCAATAACCAGAATATAATACATTTTACAAAGAATTGATTGATAGAAATGTAAACTCATACATTCCAACATGAATGTAATTCTATAAACTATTCAATTCAAAATACATACACAATGAGTGATTAGAACATGATAGTCAAATGTGTGGGTTACATACATGATATGCAATGGACTGATATTCGTTTAAAAGTCCTTTTGAGATCATTTTGGTGCATCTACATCTGTAAAGACAGTTTCTGTGTCGTTCTGTGAACGTGAGGATGTGCTTTGTGAGGAACAAAAGGTCTAGAAGGAGCCTGGTCTTTGTCCTGGGCTGGGGAAATCAATCCGAGGAAGTCTGTAGCTCGTGATTTCTATCACAGATTTACATGTTATAGTTATGCTGTGCATCTCTTTGACCATTAATCTTGGTTACTTGGTTATTTGACAAACTCCTTCCTGAGTTGGAATAATCAATATGGTTCTTTTGTTTTAATGCTGCGAGCATGCTCAAAACTGTTAGTTGGTGGACTTGCTTCAGACTTGTGGCGCCAGGGTATCGTGGACAGATTTATGACGTTGTCTTGTTATCCTGGGCCTCTTTGTGGAATTTGGCTCTTTGGGTTGTTCAACATCAATCTGATCTAATCTTAAATTGTCTGATTCGCTCTGATACCCTACACCAGTGTGGATCCTCTTATGTTTTTTCAGGACTCCTGACTGACTGAATCTTTTGTCGCAGTGTGAACACTTGTAAGGCTTCTCTCCAGTGTGGAGCCTCTCATGTGTTTTCAGATTTGCTGACTGATTGAATCTCTTGTCGCAGTGTGAACACTTGTAAGGCTTCTCTCCAGTGTGGATCCTCTCATGTGTTTTCAGACGTCCTGAATGACTAAATCTCTTGTCACAGTGTGAACACTTGTATGGTTTTTCTCCAGTGTGAATCCTCTCATGCATTTTTAAACAGTTTGCTGAAATAAAAGTCTTTTCACACTCAAAGCACATGTACTCTCTCACGCCAGTATGTATTTTCTGATGTCCTTTCAAATGTTCTAGACGTGAAAAACTCTTTCCACATAAAGAACATGAATGTGGCTTCTCCTTTGTATGAACTCTCAGGTGTTTCGTCAGAACTGAAGCCCACAAAAATGTCTTGCCACATTGATCACATGTGTACCGCTTCTCTTCAGTATGGATGTTCATATGTACTTTAAGGGTTTCTGATTTTGTAAAACTCTTTCCACACTGATCACAAGTGAACGGTTTCTCTCCAGTATGAATTCTCATATGTGCTGTAAGGTGTTTTTTTTGTGTGAAACTCTTCCCGCACTGATCACATGTGTACGGTTTCTCTCCAGTGTGGATCCTCTTATGTGTTTTCAGATTTGTTGACTTATTGAATCTCTTGTCACAGTGTGAACACTTGTATGGTTTCCCTCCAGTGTGAATCCTCTCATGTTTTTTCAGGAGTCCTGACTGAATGAATCTCTTGTCACAGTGTGAACACTTGTAAGGTTTTTCTCCAGGGTGGATGTTCATGTGCTCCATAAGGTGTCCTTTTTGTGCAAAACTCTTCCCACATTGAACACATGTATACGGTCTCTCTCCAGTATGAACTCTCATGTGAACATCAAGACTATATTTGCATGGGAAAATCTTTCCACACTGAGCACAAGTGGAAGACCTCTTGGCTCTTCTTTTCTTTAAATATTTCTGTTTGGTTTGAGAGCAACTCAAAGTTTTTTCTTCAGTTTTGACAAGACTTTTCTTCTCAACTTCACTTGGTTCTTCATTCCCTTCAATCAACTCTGAAATCAAAGTAAAAATCAGACTCGTTTTTTGTAACTTGTTTAAAAAAAAAGAGAGAGAAATGTGAAAGGACATAAAAATGAAGCCTGATGTAACAGCGGAAAGTATATAATTGCTATACAAAATTGATCATTTTGGTGCAGTTTTATAAATTATATGTCCCTTCCAAGAATGAGGTAAATTGATCTTCGAATTAGGGCTGAAACGATTCCTCGAGCAACTAGAGTACAAAAAAAATCAGAGGCAAATTATGTGCTTCGGAGAATCGTTTAGTCCATTTACTAGGGATGCACTGAATTTTCGGCCACCGAAAATATATGCCGCGCCGCACCGCCCAGCAATGTTCAGGTTTCACTCTCCTCCAGCCGCCATCACTGCGCCGTGTGACGCTCCGTTCAATATTCCGCTCTATCAATGTGCATTCTGCTCATTTACCACTAATGTTCACCGGAAGAGCTAAGTCCGCTCAAATAGCGCGGACAAGAAATTTCTATGTAGTATACTTGTTCCTGTTCAATGCTGGTAAAATCTCATTCACTGATCTGCTCCCCGCTATGCTATGCTCTGCTCACATGCGCTGATGATAATAGCTTTGCCAGGGTTTTTATATTTTTATACATGTTATACATCTTTACACAGAATCATCATTTCTATTCATTTCCCACTGATTTACGCGATCTGATGAGCATTAACTCATATTACGCGATCATATCTCTATGAATGAATGAATGGCAGAGACGCGCGTTTTCCTTTACCACACACACACTGAAGCGCGCGTGACGCTCGCGGTGATTTCAGCGTCTGCCGTCTCAATGAGGACATAAACACACGAACAACATCTCCAGAACTGCTCTGAGAGTCACTTCATGAGCGTTTCACCGTTTCATTTGAGTAAAACTAGCATCATATCGTATACACAGAAATTTAAAGGAATTCACGGCAACCCGTCAAAATAAAAGTCTGGTTTAATTTGAAGACATTGCAGCAGAAATACAGTATACTACTATTGTTCAGCAGAATGTACATAGTACTACTACTAAAATTATGAAAACTTTATTTTTTAATGAATGATCACACAACATTTCTTCCATGTTTTAATTTTAATAGTAAATCCCCTTTGTTTGCCAAAAAGTTTAATTTTCAATAATTTAAAGATAAATTATATTTTATGCCTTCATTTGATAACCAGATACACAACACAGAATTTCTGAGGAAAAAGAAAACATTTCATAAGGCTATTTTAAGAATAAATAACAATAAAACATTAGGTGAGAGAAAATAAAACATAACTTTATAACTGTCATTTTCTTTAATCATAGCTATAATTATTATAACACCTAAAATATGTTGTGTGTAAAAAGTGTTTGTTTCAGCCACTTGAAGGGTGGGTGCATTGTGTGCACATGATCAGGATGGTACCACCTCCGCCGCATTTTTTTTCTTTCAATAAAAGTGTGGTTGTTTTATTGGCTTGTGTTTTTTAAATTCCGTGTCATTAAAATTCAGTTAAATTAAAAAGTCTTACAAAATTACTTTATATTATTTAATAAAATAAATAATTATTACAAAGCATTTTAGGTTTTGGTTTTCGACCAAGCACATCCAGAATTCTCGGTTTCGGCCCAAAATTTTCATTTCAGTGCATCCCTACCATTTACTGTAACTACATACAGAGCACTGTGTTTGCAACCACATGCTCCTTTAAAGGATTACACACACACACCGGTATGCAGAGAGACATTTAAGAGGGTTTATTCTCCAGATAACTTTAAATTCATGTTGCTGAAAAATGTGTTAATAAATGTTGTGTGTATGGACTCTTGTTTTTGTTCCACGTTAGCTTCCCGCCCACTAATTTTTGCCTCTTACAAAAGCCATAAAGCCTTCTAAGAAGACAGTAAAGGCTTATGTCATGCCTGAGCTGTAGTTAGGCTGAAACTTGAAAGTTAAGTTGCACAATGTTTAGGTTTTATTATTTTTTTTTTATTACTATTACTCTGATTTATGTCTTAGTTTTTGGTTGTACT